GTGTGGAGTTGCTGCAGCACCGCTCTATTAATTAGCTGTTTACAGGAAACTTTTGTAGGCATCTGAATTGCCTCTACCTCATTATTTATGCACAGTGGAATATTAGGCCCTGGGGAGTCAGCATAGCTAAACGGACAAGGGCACATGTATGAGTGTGGGGATGGTGCTAGTGATTGGCTGTCTGTGTTTAGGGGAGTGGTTATGGGTTTGTAGTGGGGCAGGGATCATCTTACCTCAGAGCCTTTTGGGATTCTGGCCAGCAAACAACTTCCCACCCACCCACCCTAATTTTCTGTTTTTGTTCCGTCACAGCTAGCGGTGAGCGTGTCCTTGCCAACAGGGTTGGGGAGCAGATGGAATGTCAGGAGATGGACAAGGTGGGTCTCAACCTCCCCTGCTCTGTAAGGTAAACTTTTAAGTTACCGAATAGGACGTGCCCACCGAGCAAAAAGCCGGCTGGTGGTAGAGCATTTAAGATGATGGGAATTTGGTTTGGACGAGGGGGGAGGCGAGACACCAGTGGGTAAAGTTTTGGTGCATAGGCACCTGGTTAAGTTCGTTGGCAAGGACGGTTATTTAAGTTGGAGACTGTAGGGCAATAAGTGTAATTTATATGTTAATTATGGTATGTATATATATTTATCTGTTTATTTATATTTGAATTAAAGAAAAAGAATAAAGTTCGGATGAGTCCTACAGTTGTAAGTTTAATAAATGCTGTGGCCTGTTTCATCCAATATTCATTGTTTGTCATTATTGAGGGGAGAATTGGGGTAGTCTCCTTACTCTTAGTCGCACCACATTCCCCGCTATGTACATACATGTATGTAGTATTGGTGTTTAAATGCAGGGGTGTGTTTGTGTGCAGTGTTGGTGTTTAAATGCTGTGATGTATGCACTACCACACAGTTACACACAGACACACAGGTACACTAACACACTGACACAGAGATACACACAGACACACACAAATATGCACACATAAACACTGACTCATATACACATATATATAAATAACAATCTCTCCCCTTCCGTTCTGTGCCTCTTCCGAGCCAGATAGGCTCTCTGCAAGCTTGGAGGGAGCGACCTAAACTCACATCTCCCAACGAGCTGCAGGGAACTTATGATGTGACAGGGGCCTGGTCTGGTGTGCAATTAAAGGGTCGCAGGCCCCAGGCTTCCAGGTCCCTGTGACATGTAGAAGGTCACACTCCTGGCCTTTGCAACCCCCGAGTGTTCAGCCACGGACCTATCCACACAGCAACTTCATTTATGGATATTTATGACACAGAGATCCTTCGATTCTACACGGTAACAATAATGTTAAAATCTATATGTCAGCAGGCATTTCTGTGAAGTCTGAGATGGTAAACTGAGCACTTTGAATCCATAAAAGGAAGAAAAGAGCTACATAACGCATTTATTATTATTAATACTCTCCATTTTATATCAGCATGCGTCCTCCAATCACCGTGCTAAAAGGAACATTGTTTCAAATGTTGCCTCTGTACAAGTTCTATAATTCTCATCCTTCCTGACTGAATTACAAGGGTTATAGATCACAGGAGTAACTGGTTGGACAAGCCAATTAACCAGCCTGGTCTTTGACACAGTTTGTGAGTTTCTCCGCTGCAGATTCTCATAACTTGCGCCAATTTGATATATTGACTTGTAATGAGATCTACACAATGCACCAATTGTTTAAAGGGGTTTTATAGCATGACAAGCCACCGTTATATTGATTTTACCATATTGCAGTGAAAATCTATTTTATATAGTTCCCTTCCATGGACTTACATTTTATATTCTTACAGAAGATCAGGCGAGTCAATATATTTTACAGAATTAGCAGTCAAAGACTATAATGGATGGACAGGTGGAATAAAGTTAAGATTTCTAAAATTCATAATTTTTGTACCTTGCTACAAAAATATAAATGTTTATCATTTTTGATTACAGTCTTTGAATAATTGTTATATTTTCTTGACTTGGTAAAAGGAAAATAAATGGTTAGGAAATTTAAGACTTTTCTAAACAGAAAGGAAATCCTGAGGGCCATAAGGACATTTGTCAGGAAAATGAACTTATTTACTATTGCAAATTAAACGGCTATTTATTTAAAGGGACGGATACCTCTTACATAGCAAAGAATTGTGTAAGTGATCACTTACTGTCTATGCATAGTTCTTTTCAGTCCTCTACAGTTTAATCCCATTAAATGTGGTTCAGTCCCAGGAGATAAATGGTCCCAGTTTCATAGCTGAATATAATTTATATCCTGCTCTACTGTTTTAAAATTCTGGTTGTTTTCGTTTAAAGAAAGGGAACGGTGCCCCAATTTCTCTGGGATGTTAAAATGTGAGGGGTGATAGGAATCTTCGGTCCCCTAGCCCTAGCATACATCCTAACCTAAGTAATTTGCTACGGGTTTTATTTTTTAATTCATTTATTGTACTTCATTTTGACCCATTTTTGGTGTTGGTAGACTAACAGCTGGCTGCGTTAAACAATTCCGCTTGAACTGAGTTGAGTAGAATATTTTTTACCCAAGTATTTGTGGACCATACTCAAAATTTGGTTGATTAGCTCCATATTTTTTTCTGGCTTTAGACTAGGTCCTCTCTGCTCTGCAGTAATTTAATCGTATGCGGTATCATTGTGGTGTCATAAGGATAAAAATAATATAATCCCAAAAATTTTGACATACAGAAGGGTCTTGGGGTTTTAATCACAAAGGAGTGCTTCAAATTAAGGTTATTTCGGACATAGTTCCATACCTCCACCAACTTGCATAGAAACACTTGATCACATACTCCTACTCACCAAACAATACATATTCACTCATCTGATCACATGCCCCAGCCCACAAAGTTATTCACTAAGCTGAAAATTTACCAAGGAACTTCACATTTTACACTAAAATAGCTGAATAAGGAAATATAGGGATATTTTTCAACTTCTCTGCTTTGGTCTAAATGTCGCAATTCCCTGATTAATTACCAGTTCAGTAATTAACCCTGCTAGTCATATTCATCCATTTACATTTCACAACCTAGTTGCATTCAACCATTTAGCTCAGAAAGGATATAAAAAGACCACTCCAGACTTAATAACAATTTTATTTAAAAATCCTTGGCATGGTCCTGGTATTGTCATATGTAGTTAAACTATTTTTGAGCTGTTTAACCCAAATGTTCTCTTTTCAGTGCCCATCTGCTAGAGGCCCTCTGACTCCTCCTGCGGCCCCAGGCTTCAATGTAGAAGATCTTTCCCTTTGGCTCAGGCTGATAGCATCCAAAGTTGCATGGACATGGAGTGCAGTCCGAAAGCTATTTAAACCAACACTGGACTTTGTCTTCGTTTAAGGACATAGCGTGGCCGTTGTGTAAATCTGACTGGGTATAATAGGGTTGCTAGTTGTACCTAACATGTCAAGGTCTAAAAATGTTTAGAAAAGTGTCAATAACCGAAGACTTAATTATTAACAAGAGTTCTTGAGAGGTTGACATGATGAGAAGTTGTCGCCATGTTCCCATCAACACATCAATCCAATCCTATGTGGCTCAGAGACATAGGTAAGACAGGTTGGGGATATTATAAAATATTTTTTTATGGACAAATAAAGGCTGAATAATTTTGAAATCCCCATGTTTATTTCAACCAGTAGCTAATTACGCATTTCACTGTGGTTTTAATAAAATCTTTTATTTATTTGTGTGTTGGGAAAGGTTATATCCATATCTTATTCTCTTCTAGCATGGTGGCCTTCATCTATTTTTGGTATAAGTATGGTAAATGCAATTCTATTTTTAATGGGTGAATTTAAACTGGTTCTATAGAATATTTATGCGTAAATCAAGTCAAACTCGTCCCCGGAGCACTAAACATTTATAAACCTGAAATCCTCATTTTAATTCAGATTGCTATGAATCTTAATGTATACTGTGTATTTTCTCTGTCGTGTTTGCAAGTGTCAGTATGGTGCATCATTGCATTGGAAAAACACAGAGAGACAGCAGGAATATCATGTCAAATTCTCTTACCAATCAACCAGCTGTCTCTGGCTAAGTGATTTGCTCATGATGGAAATTAACAAATTTGTATTTTAAGTCTGTAGGAAGTGTTACAGAATGGTTAGCATGTCATTTACATACATCAACACACGCAGGATATTTTTATTATATTTACTTTCAGAGGACTTGTATTCTCAGAAAATAATTTAAAATATCTCGAGTTCCCTGGGGCACAGACACCAAAATAAGCTGTCACTCACATATAGTATCTCATAACAGTAGCCACTGGAATAAAATGTTCTGCATATCCAGGCTCTGTTTGCAGGAGCACAATGCTATGAACAGAACATTCTGTAGACGAGAATAAAATAGCCTACAAAAACTTTAAATTTAACCTTTTTAAGGGCCTTCGGGGAAGAAACATTTTTATGCAAATCATTGCTCTCTCTGCAGCTGAAAGAGTTACATTTTAAAACAAAATCAGGAGTTACACTTTCGTTTCTATTTTATTTTTAAAAGATAAAAATTAGCAAAATAAATATTTTATTACTCTTGCTTATAAAATATTTCTTTTATGATTTGCCTCTGCTCCAGAGAAAATGGTACATAGTGATACTTGTGGGAAAACTGTATTTATAGCAGAGCCCAAACAAAACAAAATAGAGAGAGAGAGAGAGAGAGAGTGTGTGTGTGTGTGTGTGTGTGTGTGTGTGTGTGTGTGTGTGTGTGTTTGTTTTGTTTTTTGAAGGCAGTTGCCGACCCAGTTATGATAGGAGCACTCTGAGCCAAGTTCGGTGAGTGGCTTCAACAAAAAATTCCAGGTGGGATATCTGAGATCGCTGTCCAGAAGAGGGCAGTTTTAGGAGCAGCTAAGACACTGCACAGAACCCACAGACTCCCAGTCTTTTGGTAAAGGATCTGAGAATGAGGAATACATATATACCACCCGGGAGGGGTGAGAAAATCAACTTATATGTATATATTAACCATGGCTTTAAAATATATAAGATAATGTGGCATTTTCTGCTGGTACTGTATCTATGTTTGGATCTTCATATTTATAAATAGAGTTTTTCACTAAACCAGGAATTTACAAGGGAATTGCAAACTTTAGATTATGGCTACTGGAGTAAAAAAAAAAAATCTACAGTTCAGCTATTTTCCAGCTTAACTGTTTTGTAAAAATAAATCAATTATCTTGCGAGCTCTCCATAAAATTCTAGCGCAGGCAATACATCCAATAGATCCTGGCAGCAATCGTATATTTAATAGGGTGATTCTCTAAAATGTGAATTGCTGGGAATTCAAAGGATATTTCACAGTTTAGACCAAATTTGGCTATCTTGGCCTAAAATTAAAAATTTACTTTGAATTCACTTGACATTCCACACTTTAGAGAATAACCCTGTAAGTGTTAATAACATAGTTATAATATTACATCACAAGATTGTGTAGCCTTCTTTCTATCTTTAGAATTGGGTTTGGTCAGTTTGATTGGAACAGTTATTAAACTGCCTCCAATTCACTGTTTCTACGTGTGTTCACAACTTTGGTTAGTCCAGAAATTGAAAAGTGGAAATTTGGTGAAACATTCCTCTTATCTCACATTACTGAGCTCACTGAGATTGGAAAGGATTCCATTCATCTCCAAGGCCATCTGATGGGCCAGGAAGATTTGAAAGCCACTTGAATTTAGTAAATAATCAAATTCAGTTTTCTTCTAGTTGCCCAGGAATTAACCGATCTCAAGTTCATTCATGGAATTTCACCCCATTGCAATTAGAATTCTCAACCATGGGTGTGATTTGCTGTTAAACCCAGGAGGAGTAGAATATTACACTTGTAGCTATTATGTAGAATCTGTGAGTATAGTGAGTGGATCCAGCTGTGTAAATGCTCGTATGGTTTAAGATAATGTTAGAAGTAGTTAGGGTGAAAGAGGGCTTATGGTTAGAGAGGTGTTAACATCCAACTTAGTTTACATAGGGTTCAGTGTTAAGGAGATTAGCATCTTGAGAGGGGTTGAAGTTGTAGAATAAGGGATGTTTAGGATTATTGGCTTTAGGGCTAGTGTTAGGTTACATTAAGTATTAGGATGTTTAGTTTTTAATAGGAATAAAACATTGGATTATTTTCAGGTTTAGGCTTTCGGTGCTTGAATTTGAAGGTTTTTTTGCAAAGTGCTCACCCTCCTATGTCTTCTGTAGACCATACGGACTCCTATTATTGATGTTAATAGAGCTGCAGGATCTGTTTACAGTGTGCATCACTTGTGCAGTCTGTGTGTTCCTCTTACAATGTATTTTTTGTGTGACAGGCTGTTAGTGGGCAGGTCTGAAGTAATTCCTTGCTCTTCTGGGAAACCTTGGGTCCTGGAATTCTTGTGGATGTTACTTTGACATGTACCACCTACCTAGAGATTGTCACAGACCACGTACACCCATTCATGGCAATTGTGTTCCCTGATGGCAGTGGTCTCTTTTAGCAGAATAATACACCCTGCCACATTGCTCAACTTGTTCAGGAATGGTTTGGGGTACATGTCAAAGAGTCCAAGTGTTGCCCTGGCCTCAAAATTCCCTAGATCTCTATCCTTTTGAGCATCTGTGGGATATGCTGGTTCATCAAGTCCAATCCATGTCCATCCTTCAGAGGTTTTGTGAAGTCCATACCTCAACACATCTAAGCTGTTTTGGAAGCACAAGGGGGACTTTTACAATATTAAGCAGGTGCTTTTAATGTTGTTACTGATCAGTGAATAGTTCATCATATTATATACTTTGTACTAATTGGAGACAAAACACATTATTAACTTTATTAGGTTAATTATATTATCAAGCACTAGTTTTAATTGTCTGTGCAGAAAGAGTTCTTAAAGGGAGGTAACTCCACGACAGCCTGGATTATATCCAAAGTCACTATTCCCATTTTACTCTCTCCAAGCTTTATTTCCTACATTAAGTTCAATCCTGAGAGACAGTGTTATATAAAAAAAAAATAATTAAAGTCACCTTCTTCGAGATATGACCTGCTGGATTAAATAGGAAAGGGTTACTATAAAATATGTATGAAAAAAATATATAGCTACTCTGAAAACTTAATAATGCCAGGAAGGTCACTGCTGACACAAGGTCGATGTTTCAGACATATTCAGGTCATTACAGAGACTTCTGAGAATATAATGAACTTCCATTTTTTATTCATCACGGTGACCTCTCAGCGACCATGATGCACAAATAGTTTATTCCTACATGCAATATTTGAATGGGGGAAACAAGTTTTAGTAGAGTTCATTACTTGAATTGGAATGTATATGTGTATATCTATTACAATTTCAATTATTTATGTAGCGCCAACATATTCCTCTGCACTGTACAATAGGTATAACAAGACAAACATTTAATTCTAAGAAGACACTTACAACATATGGGAACAGACGGTGAAGAGGGAAATGCCTAAACGACATCAGTATATATATATCACTCATCACTCAGATTTGAAAATGATTATTCTGCAGACTTGTAGAACTGTTGTTCTCCATATAATTCTTCAGAGCTGCATTTTTTGTTAGCCTTAACCATTGTCTATACAATGTATCTTTTTCCTGATTATTGCTTTGAATTAGGTTTGGACGTACTTCCCTATAGGTTAACACACTTTTGTTTACTGTCACACTACGTTCATGCCTTACTGCCCGTACCTATCCTTGCTTTGGTGTTGCATCTACACTGCTAGTTCTGACTTCCGAATTAAATCTAACTATCTACACTACTCCTTCCAAAACTGGATACTTACTTCCAGCTCTGTCCTGTGGCTATACTTACTCTCTCTTGTCATCCAGTGATGTATATCAAACATGGAATGAAATAAATATATGAAATGTCAGCCAGTGGATCAACTTTTCTTAGCGGAAGTATTAAGAAAAATAAGAAATAATATGGTTATAGATGTAGCAGGCATGAGTTTGTTAATAGTAGCTACAAACAGTGCTGCTTCACTTTTATTATAATTTTTCCCAAGGGCTCAGGAAACTTATTATAATCATGGTCCATGAGTCAGAAGTGGCTAGGAGTTCCCAAGCCTCTAGTCATCCCACAATATATGAATCTACCGATCCCCTCCTAATAATAATAGTGATAGTGGGAGGCTCAAGTAATCTAAAAAGAATTTAAGAAATGGATACTTAAAGTTTGAAATCATGATTGAAGATCTTCATTTCTCAATCCCCTTTCTTTGGCAAAAAAAAGTGGTGAAATAAAAAAATACTTTATTAGTCAATGGATCCCTCTACTCACCACTGAGCAGCCCACAAGATGAAGAGAAGAAGCCATTCACCGGGCCTTTTCTGTTTTCTGTTTTTTTTTTACTCTATAGGAACCATTTTCATTTATTATTTATTCTTAATGACGAGGCCAGATTGGCTCTTAGTGAGAGACCCAATCGTGTCTCTCTTACTACACACTCAGCATATAAATTACAGTATTCTACTTTTAATTTCAGTGCCACATGGGACCTAAAGCATTGGAAGAATTCAATTTACTAACGAGTTCGTCTAGTGAAAAGTTATACCTGGTCTCACTAGACTTTGCACTTTTGCAACCCGTGAAACCACAACAGCATTGTACAATAACCATTGAATGAATACCAAGTGGCATGCTGTGTCTATGACTTCCTATGGAGCACTCCGCTACACATGGAACCATGGCTAACTAGCATTGCACAGGGCCATTACTACGCGGTAAAGCGGCCAAAGGCTTCAGTCCAAGGGTTAATTAAAAAAAAATAATAATAATTTTGCCATGCTTTATTAGCCCTGCACCTGCAGCGTTAACTCTGAGCTTGCAGAATGAAACGTGCACCCCCGGCAATACTCCCACACAGTACTATATAATTAGCTATCAATATGGTGTATTGAAATGTTACTGTCACAAATTATGAAATTATGTAACAATTATGTAATTATGTAGAAGTAGAAGCAGAGCTTAGTATAGTAATAGGGATTTAGGATTAATACAGAATGGCGCTCAAATCAGACCTGTGGCTTCAAAGAAGGTCCCCCAGCATCACCCATGTATGGCAGCATAGTTATGAATTGGCGTGAATGTAGATTTATATATGTATTTACTAGACTGTAATTTGTGGTTGATTGACAATCAATTAGTTGAATTAGAACATTTTACCAATTATGCTATTTTGACTTAGGTTTTACAAAGCTGTTGTGACTTAACCACAATCCATTGTTTGAAGGACTAACATTTCTCACGTATTGATCTTCACAGAAATTAATACTGAAGGCTTCTTGTGGCATACTTATGTCAGACTGTCAGAGTCATTCACTAAACTGAGAAATGACAGGAATTGACAAACTGATAATTCAAGTTTTAGACCAAAATAGGCACATTTTAGAATTTCTTCAAAGTAGTTATTTAACAAATTTACTATTTCTGTTTAGAGTTTGAAAGGACCTGGTTAATTGCCAACAATTCCAAGTCTAGAGAATGAACAATATTATTATTATTATTATCGCCATTTATATATCGCCAACAGATTCCGTAGCGCTTTACAATATTATGAGAGTGGAGATTTAACTATAAATAGGACAATTACAAGAAAACTTACAGGAATGATAGGTTGAAGAGGACCCTGCTCAAACAAGCAGGGTCCTCTTCAACCTATCCTGTTGATATCTATAAATGCCCAAATCAACACCGATTTTATTGATCCTTTGGTGATTTTCCACTGTGACATGTGTTATAAAAACACAGAGAAAAACAAAGGTCCTTCAGTGTAGTATGTTTGATACCGAAGTAACAAATTGTGAATTAAAAATATGTCTGCTCACATATAACAGAGCTTAATACAAGCTCCAGTAATACTAGCATACAGTATGACAATCCCTGGTTAGGGGGCTAAGTTCCAGCTTGGAACTAGAGTTCCCATCTGGCTAATGTCAATTCTGTGCAAATTTCGTGGCACACAATCCAATTCATTGGATAACTCTCTCAGCCAAAGAATGAGTGTCAGGATTGGCAAACGGCTTCTGAAGTTCTGTAGAAGGTGGATGTCGTAAATCCTGCTTCAAACCGGGAGGATTAGGTAAGATGGCAAAGCAGATTCTAGAGGTTATAAAAGTTGGACTAACCTTTATAACCTTGGAGTAAGTTTACATAGATGCAAATGTGCTGGTCTTTTGTAATTCACTTAGAGAAGGCATGGGACAAACTG